ATTGAGGAGAAACTTGATTGTGTCAGAAGGGCAGCAATCTGAATGCTTCTAAGGTCTGAAGACAGGAGGAAAACTGGTGAGATGCAGACATGCAGGAGAGTTATTCAACACATCCAAACTGCAGAGAAGGCTCTTGCATCAGTTGTGAGGCTTTGTGAGAAGACTCAGGTGCAGACAACTCTCAGTGAGGGAAGAAAGGAAGGGATAAAGATGATCAATGACTAATCTCATTAAGAAATGTTGCTTTTATTTTTTTACAGTTATATCCAGAGAATTGTGATATTATCTGTAATAATATCTCCAATTGCTTCTGAGTACAATGAGTAAGTTTCCCCAGTGGCTCACATCCAACTTTCTTTGTTCTGTGCTTTATATGATGGAATATTCTTCCCTTGCCCAAAGGGTGATCTCTTTCATGGCCTTTAAACTGGCCAGAGGCTGCAGAAGTCCAGGCTGCAGATTCTTCTGCATGTCTAAATATAACAGTCTCAAAAATCAAATTTATTTACACAATTTCAGATGTAGCCACCTCCAGTTAATCCAAATATTGATGGATTTGGCTGGAATGTTAGCATGTTATGAGATTTTTCTTTACTATAGTGCTTTGGGGAATGATGCAAGTGCCACAGTATACCATACTCATCATCTAGTGATAACTAATCCATACACATAAATGTGTACTGAATTGATCTACATGTTAGTTTGCTTTGTTACATGTATTCCCCCAGGCTTTCACTAACTACTGGCTACTTCATGACCTTTACCTGCTTGTTATTTCTTTGCATTGCTTTTGTCTATCACTCAGATAAAGCAGTGTGTCACTGATACTTTTTCTATGTCCAAGTTTAACAACTATCATCAGGATTGAAAGTCTCTGGAACAGCATTATAGTTGAGTTATGAGTGTGCTGATGTTAAACAGGTAAAGTCATCGAGGCTTACATAAATCCCTTTTTCTTGTTTGGAGAAAAAAATGTTTAAATGGGTAAGAACTGTTTTCTGAGCATAATTCTCACCTATTCTGTTACCCGCTGCTGAGCATGCCAGGGCCATTTTATATAATCAGGCAGTTGCATAATTACAAGTGATACTGGACAGTACTATTAAATGTAACCATTCTGCCTTAGGGATGACTTCAGCATTATGTCAATGGAATCTAAGTGCCAAACTACCATTATGCTAATTAGAAGCAGAGCTTGCCCAGAAATGTTGTGCGGTCCTTAAGGATTTAATTCAATTTTATCCTTAGATCAATTTACATGAACAGTTCTACTTCAATTTTATTTTGTATCAGTTTATATTCATAAAACTGAAGTGGTTAAATATTTAATTACCTAGGGAGATAGGAGTTTGCCTCCTGCAGTAACAGAGCAGGCTCTATGGAATGCTTTCCCTTAGCTGAAAGCCCCCCCAAAACTGATACTGCAAACTTGTGAGCTAATAAGAGCAAGATGGAATCAGGGAGTGTAGGATGCAGAAGATCATGTTTTTGTATGATCTTAGTGCCTTCAAGTTGTGATGTTGCTGGGTGTCAGGAGGAATGATTCCTAAACTAACACTTGTGTAGCAGAGACACTGTATGGTGTACTGCTTCATTCCCCATCCCAAGCACTTCGGTTGCACATCAGGCCTCCACTGTGACTTGCTTTCCAATTACTCAAGGAAGTAAAAATCAAGTGCTGGTAAGCTGTAAGTCAGATGCCAGGCCTCAACCAAATAGGGGAAATAATGCTCCTTAAGAACAAGGAGATAAAGGCCAAATGAAAAATGTTGAGGTGACTTTGCAAGCGTTTGAAGAAAGTGAAGATTTCTCTGAATATGTGAAGGACTAGAGTTAGGAAACTGGATTCTGGGATGCCATCCTGTTGCCATGCATCTCAGTCAACCTCAATGCAGTCTCCGATGATTGTAGTGAGATCTGAACTGCTGTTCAAGTGGCAAATTGGCAAAGGCATGTGGCTACCTAAGAATGTATGTAGACATTGAGCACTGACTGTAAAAGTAGGCTGTCATGAGGTGCTCCGCTGGCTGGAAGTGTTCTGGGAACACATCTGTGGCTGGAGGTAACACAGAGTGCTGGGGGAAGGAGCATGAACTGGTTATGGTTTGAAAAACAAAGCTATTAGACAAGGGAGAGAAAAGGGAGGGAGAGCATGGCATTAGATTTTCTGGGCATTAGTGACTGTGGAGGGAGTCAGTTACAGCTTCATAGTTTAGTGTAGAAATTTATTCTGCCTCAGAAATTGGCCACAGGGCAACAATGCCTACCAGTCTCACAACTCTAAATCTTTCTGGCTTTCAGACAGGTTTTGCAGATGTCTTTTCTGTGCTTAGACACTGCTTCTGCCCCCTCAATTCAATGAGGAAATAGGAAGTATTCTACCGGACACCGAAGCACAGTTATTTCTAAGCAGGGGAGCTATGCTGATCACCACTCTGGACTTGGTTTTTAAATGCAGTCTCTGAGGGGAAAACAATTGCCAAAACAAAAGCTACCTACTCCAGTGAAGTAAGGTGTATTTATCCTTGTTAGTTGGAACCATGTCAACAGTGAATAGCTCAAGTTTGGGTGGTGACCTTAAGACTGCAGACTGGATTCTGCTGCCTGTAGCCCAGCCCATATACTTCAGGTAAGCCTGTGTGTTCCCCCCTCTTCCCAAGGGGGAAGGGCCAGTATTTCAGTGAGTATGGTTAGCTCTGTGCTTTTAATGGTGTGGTTTGATTTACTTCCTCCAGATAATTTCAAGTATTTCTCAACTTAAAGAAGAATGAAGTTCTAATATCTGCATTTTACAGCTAACTTCACAAAAGATTCTAAAATTAAAATCATATGTATTAATAGTTCTGATAAAATTATCCCACAGTATTGATAGATTGAGGGACTGACATGAGTTTTGAGTTGAAAAACATACAAATGATGCATTATGTATCTGTCTCTCTCACTTTTAAGCAAGGAATTCAAGATAAAGCAATAAAGTCTTTTCCACCTCATCTTTTGGGAGGTTTTTGATGCACTGGCTGTTTTATCTTATATCCTAAGTATTGCTTTATGAAACTTTGAGCTGTTTGGCTTATTTTGTATTACTATTATTAGAGGAAGGTTGTAAAAAAAAATACAGACAAATGTGGTGGTGACTCTGTTTCACTTGGGTATGTCTTAAGTTAACTTAATAAATGCCTAGTTTTTGACTAGTAAAACTAGTGTAATACATTATCACTTATCTTAATGTTCTTCTGAGTTTGTACTATGGTTCCCTGCAGAAGAATGGAAGCATTTGCCAAAAAAAGAGATTCACTCTGAATTTGCAAAATTTGAGACCAACAGCTGTTCCAGAGCCAACAAAAATAAAAAGCATGTAGCAGGTGGTACCATGTATGTATGTCTAATTGTAGTCCAGCAATCTGCTATCTGGTTACCAAACAGTAAGGAATTTGATCATGATTCAGGCAAAGGAGGGGAGTAAAAAGAATGACAGAGAAAGTTCTGGCTCAAGCAATTACTGCCTTTATAGATGAGAGTAATCTGTGCAGCTAGGAGCAGTGAGATGTTTTCTTTTTCTTGTTTGAAATGTTCTTCTTTTGACTACTCACTGTTTAGAAGAGCTGGTTGTAGGTGCCAAGCTGTCAGGAGAAATAATGGCATGTCCATTGCAGGGTTCATTATAAGTAAACCTGACTGTTGGACTTGCTATATCAGTGACATGCAGCTCGTGGTCCAGAGACTGATGTGAAGGAACTGTACGAGTCCTCTAGGGGCTTGCATTGCACATAGTAAATCCTCCATGTGTACATACTCACACCTGCACTTAGAAGGATCAATGACATGACCATACTTCTTCATTTGCACAGTCCTGATGGCAGTTCACTTGAGCTCTGTGAATGGGCTGTTCCTACTCAGCTTTCCTCTGGACTCTGTCCAGAAAGCAGTTTATTTGGATTTCTGATGACCAAAATATTCTCCCTCTTCCCTCAAACAAAGAAAACCTTTGCTTGAAACATCCCATGTGGGAGGATTTGGATGAGGGTGGAAAAACTAGTGTTTCTTTAAGACAAGGGGAAAAGAACTGTTGTCCACTAGGACTGAAGGGATCAAAATAAATAAATAAATAAATAAATCAGAGCTGCAAAATGCATGGTCTTGCAATTAAGAACAAGAACAAAACCCTCTGCAATGAAATGTGAGCCATTCGGGGGAGTGGCTTGGGTATGAAGTCAATCATGTAATCTCCACGGGCACTCAATGTAAACCAGTTGTGAAAAATACATCTATTAGGATATCTGTTTCCCTTAGATACAAAGAATACTGTTTCTTTGACATAAAACCCCAGTGAGAACTCCTATTGCAGGGAAGGACAGGGCTAGTCTCTTCTACAAGAAAATATCTAAGGAGTGTGATTATCTGCAGAAAGGCTGAAATAGTTGCCCTTCGTAGAGCATCAGAGGATGAAGGCTGGTGGGAGGGAAGAAGGGGGAGAACTGAGTGTGGTTCAGGAAAATGTCAGTATCAGGATAGATGAGCCTGGGCAGCTGTGAATAAATTGAGCCTGAAAAGATTGCAGCAGTGTTTGGGATCTGGAACAGCTTCCTCTGAGAAAAATAGTGCTGAAACCTGATTTTTTTTGTTTGTTTTTCTTTGTTTTTCCATGAGGTGGTGTAAGTTTATGATGGGGAATTGGATAATGTGGTGTCTGCAATAGCAAGGGATCATGTTCAGAGATCTAGAAGGCCTTTTCCAGCTCCACACTGCTAGTCCAAAAATGGCCTACTCAGCATGTTTGCCCTGTATAAATAGTCTGGGATTCAGAGAAACTCCAATGTCAGCAGTAGAGTATTTGGTAACAGGAGAGGGATCTCTAGATCAGTCATACACAGCCAAAGCCTTATCTTAGCTGCTTGTTCTGCTTCAGATAGTTGCAGGACCTGTAAGAATGGGTTTAGAAAATGGATTTAATATGTTAAGACAGGCTGGATTTGAAGGTGACAGGAAGCTGACAGATATTTGACTTCTAGGAGAGGAAGAAAATAGAATTATGGATCATGGTGTAATACACAGCTGGAGAAGAGATGAAACAGATGGAATCGGGCTATATTATCTACTAAGCTTTTTAAAATGTATTTTTGAGAAGAAATGTTCCAAGTATACTAGACTAGCTTTCTTTGGCCAGTATTTTTGTGAGTTGCATTGAAATGGGAGTGAGAAGAACTATGATAAATGGGTTTACCAACTGACTAGCACAAGTCTAGTTGGAAAGATAAAAGGGTGGCATGGGAATTATGCTTCATAAAAGGACTGACACTGAAAAAAATATAGTACAAATGAAGACATTACTCTACTTCGGGAGCTCTGAAGAAGGATAATTACTGCTGCTCTTCATGTTAGAGATTTTCAATGAGATGATTCAAAAGAAACAGAATAAAATGAGCGAGGGTATGCCAGCAATTGCCTTGTACAAGAACTGGCAGGAAGCCTCCTCTCAAAGTGCTGCATTTTTTGAGAGGAGCTCAAGTGCCCTAGTGGTGACCAGGATGGATAGGAACATTATTGTTGGAAACTCCGGAGTTATCATTACGAAGTTTGGTCAGAGCTAGCACGGTGTGTATTCGGAGTGTGATCCTCTTCCCATTTAAGCAATAAAAGCCTGAAGCCAGCAGCCTTACACAAAGGTAAATCCAACACAACTGAGGGGAGCACTGACTTCCAGCTGCTTGGGCTCCAGGTTCTGAGGGTGATTTATTTTCATCACAAACTGTCAGTTTCTGCTGAGCTTTTCACTGACCCCCTAAAGGTATAATTTGTTTGCATTTCCTGTGATCAAATCCATCCTTCATCTTATTGTCAGTCATTCTCTCACAGAATTAACTGAAGATTGCTTTTCTTTAATGATGTCTTACCATATAGATAAACCATAAAGGGTTTCTTTGCCTGGAGGACATGAAGTGTTGCTAATTTAAACTGATTTATGAAGCGTCTTTTGATGCTTTCACTGAGCAGCACACTAAAGCCACTTTTCAAAAACATAAAATCCAAGAGTTCAGTGTTCCCCACTCTTTTCAGAGTGGCAAAATTTGTGCCCGCACAGTCCTAGAAGTGTCATGTACCCCTGAAACAATCATTGAAGGGGTTATATCATAACTAGTTTTAACAGCTCCCTGATAACACTGCAATTGTGCAAAAAACACAAAACCTTGGAGTGTCTGGGGTAAATGAGTGTCCAGGGCAAAGCTAACAAGACATACAAACCCGTATTTCATTTTGCAAATTTTCTTCACAAAACTGACCTAAGGCTAGAGTAAGGCGAGGTCTCTACACAACTCTGAAGGGGCTTTGGTATAACAGAAAGCAGAAGAGATTTGTATTATGTTCTTAGAGCTTAAGTGGGTTGTTGCAAAGAGGATTTGACAAATCTAAGGGCTGAATTGCTGACAGGTGAGGTGGGGTAGCTGTTAATGCCTTCAGACTGCCTGAAAAGGCTGATCTCTGAATGGGCAAAAACAGTCAGGTATTTGCGGACTGAAGCTTCTCTGGCCTGGCTGCCACTTTGTCTGCTGTCAAATGCTTCCACTTGAACAACTTTCCTAAAGCAATGAGCAGTAAATTGGTGAGTATAATATTTTAATTGTTCTTTCCAACTGATCACAGTGAAGAGCAAACAGTGCAGAGTGAGATTACTGCTGCTATGCAGCTCAAAGCTAGAACTATCAGAAGCCAGAGCTACGCTTGCTGGTGCCTGTGAATTTGCTGGCCTTCAGTTTTCTTACTTAAAGGCAGCAGAAACAAGCTCATGGCTTTCTGATCCTGGCCATGCTGCTTGAGGAATGCTGATGAGGTAGATACGGCTGCAGCACTGACTCAAAGTGGTCTCTGTCCTGGAGGCCACAGATGGGATTTTCTCTTGGATATTGAAAAAACTGCCAGGTGTTTCCAGCCCCAGAGCCTCCAGGGAGGGGCTGCCTCTGCCCTCCCTGTACTCACATGTACCCATGACTGAGCATCTGCATCCAAATAGATGAGAGAGTGCAAAGCTGCTGACCAGGAAGTTTTTCATACTTTCCTCCCACCTGAATGAGTGATTACAAACCTGCTGGATCACCTGTCTGGTTTCCCACTCAGCTCTGAGGCGGTGCCATTGATCACAAAGGAAGAGCTGTGCTTCCCATAAGTATGGGTTGGAAAAGGTACTCCCTGATATCCCATCTTTCTTCTCTATGCAGCTCCTATAAAACTGATGTTGGAAAAGCATTTTCCTCATCTTTTATTGCATTTCTTATTTTTAGTAAGAACTGTCCTGGTTTCAGTTAGGACAGAGTTAATTTTCTTCCTAGTAGCTGGTAGAATGCTATGTTTTGGCTTAGGATGAGAAGAGTGCTGATAACACCCTGATGTTTTAATTGTTGCAGAGCAGTGCTTATACTAAACCAAGGACGTCTCATCTTCTTGCTCTGTCCTGCCAATGGGCAGGCTGGGGGTGCAGTAAGAGCTGGGAGGGGACAGACCCAGGACAGGTGACCCAAACTAGCCAAAGGGGTATTCCATACCATATGGGGTCATGCTAAACAATATATAGGGGTGGCTAGGCAGGGGGAGGGGTCCGGACTGCTTGGGGTTAGGCTGGGCATTGGTCAGCGGGTGGTGAGCAATTGCATTGTGCATCACTTGTTTGTACACATTATTAGTAGTAGTACTATTATCATCATTGTACTATTATTATTATTGTTATTATTATTTTCCTGTCTTAATAAACTGTCTTTATCTCAACTCACAGGCTTCACTTTCCATTTCTCTCCCCCGTCCCAGAGAGGGAGGGGGGAGGGTGAGCGAACGGCTGTGCAGTGTTTAGCTGCTGGCCGGGTTAAACCACGACAAGAACAAATGGCAAAAGATACTTGCAGGTGTTACAAAACAGAGGAAATTGCTTTTTAATTTCCATGTATGGGCAGCAAAAAGCAGATCCCAACAGCTGAAGCATTTGGTTCTGCCATGCTTTTGGGTAGTGTGAAACATGCATGGCAAGCAAATTGCAGCCTGTTTTCTCTTAAGCGTTTTGGGTGGAGAGGAAGGGTTCCCAGTGCCATGTGGTCCCCATTGCCTGCTCCAGCAGGGAGGCTGCCAGCCCCCAGGGGAAGGGGAGGAGGCTCAGGCTGGGTTCAGACTTGAGACTTGCTTGAGGGGGTGAGGCAGCTAAACAACCAAGGGTTTTATTGCGTCCTCCCCTCTTAAGCGAAGCTCCTCACCACGCAACAATTCTTACCAAGTGCCAGAGAATCCCTTATGGTCACATGAGCCTGTTTCTGCTTTTCCCAGTGGGAATGCATGACAGCAATAGCTTGTTTTTCTTTATATAGTAATATCTGGCCATATGTTAAACGCTTTGTGTTTGGGTGGGGTACTTAAGCTGTTTGTTCTCTTATGCCTATGGATTCCCTGACTTGGAGGCAGTTTGTTCAGAGAATATCCTTGCTTTTCTCATACTCTTCCTGTTCACTGCTGAGAACCAGTGTTGTTCTCTAAACATTTTTAACCCATTTTGCTACTTTTCTGGTGATAAATCATTAATGGCAGTTATTTCCCACAAGGATTTAGGAGAGGAGAGGAGCAGCAAAATCCCGCAAAACTTTTTTTGGGTATTATGACAGTATCCTGTGACTTTCTTCTAGTTTTCTGTTAAATGAAATTTCTGATAATCGCCTCCTGATAATAAAAATGTCACTTTTTCTTCTTTTCTTTCCTAGGACCACAAACAGCACCTCCATTAGATCCTGAGCCTTCTCCCAAAGTCACCTGAAGTCTATAGGACTCTTTAGTGGTTCCTGAAATCAGATTCTACTTACTGGTATCAATTTCATTAATGGCTTTGTTTTTTCTACCACTGATATTCAAAATTACTTCTGTTCTCCAAGTAGTCTGTGGGCATAAGGAGCTCTGGCATATGTGAGGTAATCATGGATGATCTGGATGAAGGTTTACAGGGTCAAGGACTTAGCAGGCCCTGGTTTTTAGGTGGAAAGTAAAAATGTGGAATACTCTTCTCATTGCAGAAACACAAGAAATTGGTGTACAGAAAACCACAGTACAGCTGCTGAAATGCAACTGGGTTGCATTTCATGCATAAATAAAATTTAGAAAGCAATGTCCTTCCTCTGTGCACAGAAGTGCAGAGGACAGTCTGAGACAGAGGGTCTAGTTTTCAGTGTTTTTCTCTGTGTGGTCTCCAAAACAAGGAACTGCTGGTGAGAACTCAAGTGGTAAATAAATAAAACAATAATAATTAAAAAAAAAAAAAACTGCTGTAAGTGGAAAAAATGCATTGGTTTAGGTAGTAATCGCCAGCCTTCCAACTTTCTTAAAGTGCTGAATTCATTCAGATGGCAGAAGCTTTGTTGAAAGATGCAAGGGAAAATGATGTTAAGGGGGAAAAATGCTTTGTAGAACAACATTAACACTGAAGAGCAGAATCCTTTTAACTATGTTGTTTTCCTGTTTTACACCATGTTTTCAGCAATTAACATTTGGCCAGCCTCTGTCTGGCTCACGGCTCATGCAGAGAGGCAGGGGAAAAAGGGGTTGTACAGGATGATACCTGTCAACAAAGGAGGATAGAGTTCTGACCAATTCCCTAGCTGCCTACCTGATAGGAAAATACCGGCATCTCAGACTTGTACAGGACCCAAGCTTTGAGCTACTATTTATCTAATATGTGGTTCTGGCCACACATTAGATAAAAGATTTAAGCCAGTAAGCTTTTATACACTTGTGCTACAGGCTGTGGAATCACACAGGCATATTGGAGAGCAAAATACATCTTAGGAGTTTGTAGTTTACTTGGTCATCTTGGGTTTGAAGGTCTCTTGCATGTGGAATTTTCTCATTTCCTGACAGTCACAGCTTGGTAAAATAAACCAAGTTATTTACTCTTACAAAATATAAACCAGGTTATTTACTCTTCTCATCACCTTTACTGTTGCATGATGAATGATGCATAAAGAAAAGGAAAATGAAAACATTTGCAGTGACACAGATCTTGGATGAGCTGACACTTTCAGCACAAAGAGGACTTGTATTCAGGTACTCTGTGGCAAAGCTCCGTCACCTGCTGTTGGTATTCTGTCAATGGACTGGCTGCTGCAAAATAGATGGAGTGAGCAAGAAAGAGCATAGTCTAGATTTGAAAGGTCAAATGCCATAGGTGTAAGAAAACAGTAACATTCCTTATTGCACTGGGCATCCATCAGTTTGGGAAGAACTCCAGGTATAATCTCTTTCAATTATTTCTTTCTTCAGCATCTCCAACATTTTCCCTGTGGGAGAGACCAGTCTATGGAGTGTAGATTCAAAAACAACAGTGATGACTCATGCTAGAATCAAATGCAAGAGCTAGGAGTAGGTGGCTTGTTTCAAACATTTTCTGAAGCAGTAAGCAGTTTAAAAGCAGTATGTCTCTAATTAGGTGTTGCTGATTAGTGATACCACTGAAATCTATTGCACTTAAATATAATTCTAGAATACTCTTCTGTTATTCATAAGCTTTCTATTTAATATTCTACTTGCAGGGTCTAAGTGAAGCTGCCTGGACTGGCTGTCTGTCTTAACCTTCTCCAAAGAAGGAATATTTCCAAGTCAAATCTTGCATCAAATGAAGTCTAGGGGAAAGCTGATAAAAGCAACTAGGCATTCACCACATAGGATCTGGAGAGGAGGGAGACAGCTCTGCCTTTAAAATCTCTTCCTGCTTAAAAAGTGATTCTCTGTGTCTTAAATAGCACATCTTCAACTCAGCATTTGTCCCTGAGAAATCTGTTCGATGGTGTATAATTAAACAGCACAAAATACAGATGTAATTAGTATTCTGCAAAAATAGCTTTTGCACTACCAGGCACTGAAACGCATGTTTGCATGCACTATTTGCAGGCTGTTCTTGCATCCTTGATGTACCCCTGTGCCTATGTCATAGGAGCCATCTACCTGACAGCTCCCCATCAGAATTCTCCCCCCCAAAATTTGGGAGTTGCTCCCTGATGCCTCCCCTTGCAGTGTGTGGCTGGGTGGGGGCTGGGGGAGGAATGCCCTGGGAATGCCCAGGGTGCTTCCACAGCCTGGCTCCTTGGAGCTGTGTCAGTGTATGGCCTGTAGGCAACTGCATTTGGTGTTGGCATAGCTGAACCTAGAAACTCCTTGCTCACTGACAGTCTTTGTAGCTTGTGGCATGAGAGGAAAGGGATGTCTGCCAACACACCTGTTTTTCAAAACATTAAATGCTCTGAATCAAGTGGTAGCATGTTTTGACAAGGTAAGTTATCCTTTTTGAAATGGCCTTGGCTAGATGTCTCATTCATTCTCATGAGCCTTGTTTGTACTAGCAGGCTGCTGCTCCAACACAGCAACGTCACCTAGTGCTTTTAAGCTTTATACATACTGTACCTGCAGGACACGCTGCAAACAGCCAGGAAGCCCCAAGAACCTGTGTTTCAGGTGCATTAGAGAACAAATCCTTCCTCCCTTCCGTTTAAGGCTGTTTCTGATCTGTGCTCTTTAGGAGAGGACAGTATGTATGTAGGTTACTGAGAACTGTTTAATAAAACCTGCCAGTAAATCCTTTGCTGCACATAGATCAATCTCTCCACATACAGGGAATCAAAATCGCCTTGTTGCGGGTTTCTGGATGACTTTCAGAGTGTGGTGTGATGCAATCAGACAGGATGCTCTTGGTATTGCTTTTTGTGCAAGTCGTGGGCCACAGGGTATTGTGTCTAATTTGGCAACTTGAGCCTTAATTCTTAAATGAAGAAGACAAGCAGATAAATCCTGGCAGCTTTTCTTCCAAAGAACAATTAGTGACATCATAATGCCTGGTTAATGTAGTAGTTAACTGCTGACTATTACAGTCCTTTTTGGAGGATTAAAACAATGTATCAATAAATCAGCGTATAAATTCATAGCTTTTCTGAAATTTGATATTTTTGGTGAATGTTTTGCCCTCTGACTGATGTCAATGATTGATCTGGACAAGCATAGTGCTGGGCTGTGTGCTAGGGTACTAAATCTTTCTTTTCCCCCCTCCTTCTCTTTTTTAATCTTGCATTTTTTTGTAAGTCCATAATAGAAGTAACCATTACTGAATTTCTTACTGAAGTTTTACTAAGTTTGTTGGAATCTTGTGTTACTAAGTCTAAAATTCAGAATAAATATGTTTATTCTTTCACCTTTAAGTTTGTTTAGAGCACAAAGAGGGTACAAAGAATAGTTTTGCTGAATGTGTTATTTGCCTTACAGGTGTCAGTATAGCCTTTAAGTGCAATAAATTCTTTTAGAATACATGAGAATTAACTTAGTGTTATTTCATGGTAAGCTTTGGGCCAAAGTGCAGGCAATGTTTTTCTGTCAAGGTTACCAGGACAGAGACAGCTGTATGAAGTGCTTGGATATTTTATGATTGTGTTTCCAAGAAGGGAATCTGAAATGAAGAATTATTAAGATAAAGTTGGACTGCCCAACTTTATTTTATTTTTTACTCTGAGGGAAATGTGAATTGTAACTCTCAGATGTCATGAGCTGTGGCATATCCAGGTACAAGCCACAGCATAATAGGTCTTCAGAGCCATGAGATGAATGGTGGTCATTACTACTGTAACAGAACACGCTCCTGTGAAAAGAGATGACCAGTTTGGGGGACTTTTTCAGGAAATCCTTAGAAGCATTCACCTGGCCTAGTGGAGAGAGAAGCCTGCCTTGAAACCAGGCTAGATATTTGTACTAAGGGGAAAAAACAACCCAAAGGTCAAGTCAATGCAAGACAAGGAATCTAGGTCCCAGGAAGGAAAGCTCTGAAATAGCCATGAAATAGACAGATCAAGCCTGGTGAATTTGGTTGACAGAAAGCCCAGGCAGGGATGGCAGTGTTGCCTCACCACTGCTTTTAAGGTAAGCCTCTACATCCCAGACCACTACTTTGGAATGTGACTTATTTGTGCCCATTAATTCCAGCTACTGATGTTAAATTGTCACTACTACAAGATGAGCTGTAGCATATTCTAGCATGCCCTGTCTCTCTTGACAACACATCGTCATCTCCTGTTCCTCAGTGGCTTTGGTGTTCCAGGACCTGTGAGCCTGAATGTATGGCCAATCCACCCAGCTCTGCAGCTGTCATGGTTTCAGAATTGGAGAACTGGGGGCACGTACAGAGTAATCTGTGGATTGTAGATCTTTTTTTTTTTTTTTCCCTAGAAGATATTCAGTTTCCATTTTCTGCAGTTGTGCCTGCTTTCCCGATCAGACATCATTTAACCATACTGACAGTATAATTCCTGGGAGAAGTATCAGATACTCCTGTGTCACCCTTCAGAATGGTGGCCTCAGATACAGGGGCACTACTGGTCTCCTCTGGAATCCCTCAAATAAATCATAGAATCATAGAATATCCTGAGTTGGAAGGGACCCTTAAGGATCATCAAGTCCAACTCTTGACACCGCACAGGTCTACCCAAAAGTTCAGACCATGTGACTAAGCACACAGTCCAATCTCTTCTTAAATTCAGTCAGGCTCGGTGCAGTGACCACTTCCCTGGGGAGCCTGTTCCAGTGTGCAACCACTCTCTCTGTGAAGAACTTCCTCCTGATGTCAAGCCTAAACTTCCCCTGCTTCAGCTTAACCCCGTTCCCGCGGGTCCTGTCGCTGGTGTTAATGGAGAAAAGGTCTCCTGCCTCTCGACACCCCCTTACGAGGAAGTTGTAGACTGCGATGAGGTCTCCCCTCAGCCTCCTCTTCTCCAGGCTAAACAGGCCCAGTGCCCTCAGCCGTTCCTCGTACGTCTTCCCCTCCAGGCCTTTCACCATCTTCGTAGCCCTCCTCTGGACACTCTCCAACAGTTTCATGTCCTTTTTATACTGTGGTGCCCAGAACTGCACACAGTACTCGAGGTGAGGCCGCACCAGCGCAGAGTAGAGCGGGACAATCACCTCCCTTGACCTACTAGCGATGCCGTGCTTGATGCACCCCAGGACACGGTTGGCCCTCCTGGCTGCCAGGGCACACTGCCGGCTCATATTCAACTTGCTGTCTACCACGACCCCCAGATCCCTCTCTTCTAGGCTGCTCTCCAGCGTCTCATCGCCCAGTCTGTACGTGCAGCCAGGGTTTCCCCGTCCCAGGTGCAGGACCCGGCACTTGCTCTTATTGAACTTCATGCGGTTGGCGATCGCCCAGCTCTCCAACCTATCCAGATCCCTCTGCAAGGCCTTTCCACCCTCAACAGAGTCCACAACTCCTCCAAGTTTGGTGTCATTGGCAAACTTGCTCAAAATACCTTCTATTCCTACATCCAGATCGTTTATAAAAATATTGAAAAGTACCGGCCCTAAAATGGAGCCTTGAGGGACCCCACTAGTGACCGCCCGCCAGCCTGACGCAGCGCCATTCACCATAACCCTTTGGGCCCTGCCCGTTAGCCAATTGCTCACCCATCGTATGATGTTTTTATTTAGCTGTATGGTGGACATTTTGTCCAGTAGGATCCTATGGGAAACCGTGTCAAAAGCCTTGCTGAAGTCCAAAAAAATCACATCAGCTGGTTTCCCTTGGTCCACCATACGGGTGATCTTATCATAAAAGGAAATCAGGTTAGTTAGGCAGGACCTGCCCTTCACAAACCCATGCTGGCTGGGACCAATGACTGCTTTGTCCCCCAGGTGTGCCTCAATAAGTTCGAGAACCATCTTCTCCATGATTTTACCAGGCACTGACGTGAGACTGACAGGCCTGTAATTGCTAGAGCAGCAATTTACCAAGCCCCATCTGAAGTTGCACAAGCGCAACTGAGCTCAAAGTCCCCCCTCTCCCCCCCCCCCCCTTTTTTTAGAAGCAAGCAGAACAAGCTGAGTCATCCTGCCCATCATTCCTTCAATTAAATAATCTCTCTCTGTCCCCTATCTTCTTCTATCCTCAAACTAGTTCCAGCTGCTTTTAGGATCCTTTCATCAGTGTACCTAAGCTGCACAGGCTGATTGGGTGCCTGTCAAACCCTCTGATGATGCTGGGAAATCCGTTATGCTCTGCTATTGAATTTTATTCTGGTCATCTGTGTGCAGAAGCTTGCTTTTCCAGGTAATTGGCTGAATTGAGCAGTGAAGCTTGTTTCACTACAGGCATGAGAGTGCAAATAATGAAGTACCTGTTGTGTGATATATTTTCATGATGCTGATAGCCTTTAAAACATTTTCCAGTTCCAGCCTTTCCTATGGTGTTGTAAGTCTACCTGACAAAGTTATTGGCAGTCTTGAGCTCTTTAGATGCTACTGCCACAAAAGATGCATCTGTTTTTCCATTAATGTCTGAAGTGGTCTTTGTGTGTAACAGCACTCTGGGCTGTTGGGCTGCTCATTAGTACTGTGTTGGCCACTGCACTGTAACTACAGCTGAACAGTAAGCAGAGAAACATCTTATTAATTCAAGGAAATATATTGTCATAGAAACAATAGAAAATAATTTAACTTTATCAATCAGACTCATACAACAAATATCTATTTTTGAATCTAAATAATTCTTTAGATCCCAAGATAGTTGCAGAGTTATAGATTTATTTTTTTTTTCCCTCAACAATATTGGTATATGCTAGGCTGAGTTTATTTTTTTATTGGTGTTTTACTAGAATATTCAATGTTTCCAGCTTTCACCAGGAATGCTTCACAGAGCTTTTCCCAGGATACATAATTGTTATTTTCATTGGACAGGAGACAAGTCTGATAACCTGCTACTTCGTATAAGCATGTTCCAGTTCATTGAATGGTTGACATAAAATTTTTAGTTCCTGTTTAAAGTCTATAAAGCTGCTGCATATTTATA